CCAGAAACTGTGGGCTTCCACACACATATCATTTAGGGTTAAAATAACTTTTTTTGTCAAACATACAACATACCAGAAACATGGTCCCACTTTATAAGTGGCCTTAACTACTATGTACTTACATTTTAATTCATAATTTGGTGCAATGCACTTATTGTGTACATACATGTTTTTACATTGTACTTATATCTTAAAAATACCTGCATGTAATTACATCTGTAATACATTTCTGTAATTACATTTATAATTACACTGTTCACCCATCCCTTACACCTTAACCCACCTTAAACCTACCCATACCTACCAAACCTGTCCCTAACCTTACCCGTTTCCCACCTCAATAGCAGCAAAAGTGTTGTGCAATACAATATGAACACAATAAGTAGATTGTACTTAATTTTTGATGTAAGTACATAGTAGTTAAGGCCACTTAATATAAAGTGGGACCAGAAACATATTAATCACTGCAATAATGTGTGTGTGTGTGTGTGTGGGTGTGTCATAATAAGTATTTAGCAGTAGTTGAATACTAAATGTCTTGCCTTTTTTGCAGTTCTTTATCTGTGGCCTTCTTTATATACTGTCTGAACGCAACCCCTCTAAAAAGATAGTAAGTGTCTGTTTAGCCACTCACTGTTTGTGAGAACTCATGCATAATTCTGAGAATTCTTGTGTCCTAACTACAAAATGATGTCCATTGAATGTTTAATTGCATGTGATATTTTGCTTTTATGTTCGTGTCTTCTGGTTTGATTGCTCACAGATCACAGCCAGCCTTGCTCTGAATATCATCTCAATCATTGGAGTGCTGTCTGCTTTGGTGGAATTCTCCAGAGCAATTGTTGGAATCTATCACATACATGGGTATCAAATGTATGAGAATGACACAGAGGAGGAGGAACTTCATGCCAGACAACATTATGTGAGGGTTTTTATTATAATTATTAAATGAAAAACATGGTTATTATGAGGAATATAAATCAAGATATGAGGGTGACAGAAGGGTGTATTTTCAACCAATTAGAGATTATGCATGTGCAGCTTTAATAGATTATACAAACAAAATCTCTCATTTCATTTTCACAGATGTCCATCAGAGACATGGAGCTGGTGTTCTGCTGTCACAGCTTGATAGGAGGCATTCTGCTTGTAACTATGACGTTCTTCGCCAGGGCAGCGCTGCGATCCAGCAGGACTCAGGTAATCTCACCTCACACAGCCTTCCTCCAGTGAAACCACCAAAGGCTCTATGGTTGGGTTGTAGGTCTTTTCAGATTGTTACGTATAGCAGGAGTAAAAGAAAATTATGTTAAATTCAAATAACAAAAAATGAAAGAAATTAACAATATCGTGCATTTAATAAACAAAGGTTCATTTCATTTATAATATAATATATGACTCTTGAATCACAGCAAACATTGGTTAAACAGCCAGGGAACCTTTGTTTCCTACATAGTTGTGCTCATGTTCTGTCTCTCTTTGGTTTCTACAAGTAAGCCAACAAAATCATTTGAACTCAACTCAATATTCCATGTCCATTTATTTATTTATTTTTTAGTAAGTAGTCATGTAACAAGTAAGATAATGTATCCTGATCACCTTGCTGGGTTTATTTTGCAATAATGACTGGCTGACTGTACATTTTCCTCATTTGTAACAGTGAGGGTAGAATGTTTATGGATGATTTCCTTATCTCTGCAGGCTGTTGTTGTAATGCGGAACCTGCCGTCAGCAGAGTGAACAAACATCCTTCTTAATGTACGTGAAGAGGAGCTGACATCTGTGGCAGCACATTTGAAAATTTCAATAATAACCAACTGTGATCTTTAAAATTGCATATAAACAGTGTATTAAATGGTAACAAAATGGGAGTAGTAGTTTTCTATGTTATTAATACCAGTGTTTTGTACTTTTGTACTTTACATATACATAAACCCACTTATGATTTTTAAGATTAACTGTTAGATGCATGTGTTTGCTGTCATAGCTATGCAAAGATTTGATTTCAAAAACAGTATCATAGCTATTAAACTATGTCTTGTTATAGTTTTAAATCTGTATTTAACCTCAGAACGATCTCAAAGTAAATAGAGGTGATTTTGTGGTGGCTGTCAAGTCACTTCAAGTCACCTTTATGTCAAGTCACTCCTTGCTTCTTTCCTCAGATTTTTCTAAGATTTTAACTTCAGCAGATCAGCACAGTGCTCAAACAACACATTTTTGGCACAGACACTAAAACTAAAAACTCTTGGGACTGGAATAATACTACAAAAAAGGCAGCTTACCCAAAGCCAGCAGCTTACATTCCGGAGACGGGAAAACACAGCTGTAACAGTAACTTCAAACAGACGAGAGAGAAAATGCCTCCTGTTGAATTTACTTGTTGCATGAACTGCTGCAAACTATTACAAAGGATTGCGGTTCTTGAAACAAAGTTACTTGCTGGACTTCCAAAACAGGCAGAACACTCAGCAGACCGTCATCATGGACCCCCTCAGCATACAGCCGGTGAGTCCCATGAATCTAGTGAATCTCAACAGTTTATACCAAGTTTCATGAGTTCACGCTTACATATAATTAGCTGAAGTATGGTAATGCATATTTGGCGTGCTGTCCGGGGAAGGGCTTCGAGCTCGGGAATGGCCCGAACCTAGAGTACCCACCCCCCGTATAAGTGTAGTATGAACTCCAAGTGAGGAGATGGGGTGTAGGAGGGATGCTGATAAACCGTCAATGGATAGAGGTAAGTCAGCTGTATTTATATCATGGTGTTA